ACCCTCCTGCCTCTGCCTCCCAAGTGCTGGGATTAAAGGCATGTGCTACCACACCTGGCCTTGACTTTGTTTTATTATAAAAAAATGCAGTTTTTATTTGGGAAGGAAAAAAAATACCTTAAAAAACGAGCTAGGAGACTGGAGAGAAGGCTCAGTAGTTAAAAACACTGTTTGCTCTTCCAGAGGACCTGGGTTCAGTTCTCAGTACCAACATGGCAGGGCTCACAACCATCTGTAACTCCAGATCATGAATCCAATGCCCTCTTCTGGCCTCTGTGGGCATTGCATACACATGGTATACTATACATTCAGGCAAAACACTCATAAAAATTAATAAAGAAAGGAAAAAGAAAAAGATCTGGGCATTGGTAGTGCACACCTGTGGGCCCCTAGCATGGGAGACAGAGGTGGGAAGAGTTTCTCAGCAGCAGGTTTTGAGTCTGATGGTTTTGTTATTAAGCCCTTGGGAACCAGTCATGTGGTATGTGTTGGTCATCTGTTCTGTTTTGTAGCTGAGTAGTGTTTCATGGTATGGTTCTGAGCAACACTGATCTGGAGGGATACATTAGTTGTTTCCAGTAACTGATCTGTGAACATACATGCCCGGGTTGTTGTATAAATATAAGGATCCACTGCTGTGGGATAAATATCCAAATGGGTGATTGCCGAGTCATATGTTTGGTGACTAAATCATACATTTAGTTTTTAAAACCTGTGGCTAGGTGTATGGCTTAGTGGTATAACACAAAGCATTTGCTGTATTGTGAGGAGGCCCTGGGTTTAATCCCCAGAACTGAAAAAAAATCAAAATAAAGAAAACCCTTCCCAGAAAATCAGAAAGCCCTTTCCAGTGATGACTGAATGACCTGGTTTCCCTGGATTGTCACCAGCAGTTGATGTCATTGGTTTTTATGACAGCTGTTCTGATATATGTAATGTTGCCTCATTTTGTTTTTTTTTTTTAAGAAATTTATTTTTATTACATTTATTCATTATTTCTGTGTATATATGTGCTATGTGTGTAGGTCAGAGGACAACTTGTAAACTTTTAGGACTTAATTTTTTCCTTCCACCATGTGGATCCCAGGGATTGAACTCAGGTCCTCAGGCTTGACTTTACCTCCTGAGCCATCTCACTGGCCCCATTGTGATCTTAATTTGTGTTTCCCTTCTTGCTATTGATGTTGAATGCCTCTTTCTGTTTCTTAGTTTTTTTCTTTCTGTATTACTTTTTTCATTATTTTTTAGACAGGGTCTCACTACATGGCCCTGGCTGGCATGGAACTGACTATGTAGACCATACTGGCCATGAACTGGATCCTCCTGCCTCTGCCTCCTGGGTGCTGGGGTTTAAGGCCACCATGTCCAACTTACATGACTTGTATACATTCTGATGTATGTGTTCAAGCTGTATTTTGGAGGTTGTCAGTGCTCTTAACTGCTGAGCCATCTCTCCAGTTCTTAAAATTTATTTTTCAATAATCTTAAGATGCCTTGCTTATGTCAGCTATTTTTCTCATTACTGTGACCAAATATCTGCCAAAAGCAACTTAAGCAAGCAAGAATGTTTTTTGGCTTACAATTTGAAGTCCACCATGACAGGGAAGGAATGGCAGCAGGAGTGTGAGGCAGCTGGTCACATTGTATCTGCTGTCAGGAAGCAGAGAGCAGACAGGAAGTGGGCTAGACCATGAAATCTAGGCTTATCCCACTCAGCTTCTTCCTCTTGTGAGGATTCACATCCTATAGATTCTATACTTTCCCAAACAATATCACCAGCTGGTGACTAAGTGTTCAAATACATGAGTCTGTGAACACATTTCACATTCAAACACAGCACTGCCTGTGTTTTGTTTTGTTTTTGGAAACAGGATCTCATGTATTCCAGGCTGGTCTTAAACTCACAATGTGGTTGAGGATGACCTTGAACTCCTGATCTTGCTGCCTCCAACTTCCAAGTGTTGAGATTACAGGAGTGTGCCACCACACCCAGTTTTTGCAGTCTGGAGATTGAACCCAAGGCTTTGTACATGCTCAGCAGGCACTCTACTACTCACTGAACTATATCCCTAGCTTCCCTTTTTAATCTTCTGTTAAAATTGGACCTATTTTGAGTATAACCTGAAAACTCAATTTTATGATATTACTAGGAATTTCAAGATTGTACTTTAAAAAAACATTTACAAATTTTTACATTATTTATTTATTTATTATTTATATAGATATGCTACAGCACAGCTGTGGTGATCAGGGAACAATTTGTGGGAGTCACTTTCACCATGTGATTTCCAGGGATGGAACTCAGGTCATTAGGCTTGATGGCAAATGCCTTTACCCACTGAGCCATCTCACTAGACCTTCAAGATTGTATTTCTAACAAGTCTTTCTCTTTTCCCAGGTCTATGGCTATGCTCCGTACAGTGGCGCATACCCGGCAGGAACTCAGGTTGTCTATGCTGCAAATGGGCAGGCGTACGCTGTGCCTTACCAGTATCCCTATGCAGGTAATTTATGCTGGCCTCTGCTTCTGGTCTCTGCATGCAGTGGAGGCAAAGAGGAGTCTATTTTCAGTCTGAGGTTAAGTGAGGTGCTCTTTCTGTTGGAGAGTCCAAAGCACTCTATGATTTTTACTTTCTCTTTAATAGATCTTTTGGATTTTTCCATATTTTTACAGAGCCAAATTAGTTTTGTTTTTTTAAATGATTATACTTTTATTTATTTTGTGTGCATATATGTGTGGGTGCATGTGTGCCATGGCTCAGCAATGGAGGTCAGAAGACAACTTGAAGGAGTCAGTTCTCTCCTACCATTGGGTCCGGGGATTGAACTTGAGTTGTCAGACTTGGTGGCAAGTGCCTGAACCCTCTGAACCATCTCTCTGGTCCAGTTCTGATTTTTTTCTTTCAGATTTTATTAATTTTTATCTAAAATATAACCAAATATGCACACACCTTGGTGGTTTATTTTTTCCTTTTTTCTTTCTTTCTTTCTTTCTTTCTTTCTTTCTTTCTTTCTCTTTCTCTCTCTCTTTCTTTCTCTCTGTCTCTCTTCTTTTTTTCTTTCTTTCATTTGTTTTTTGACACAGGGTCTCCTGGTAGCCACAGCTGGCCTGGAATTCACTATGTAGACCAGGCTAGCCACAATCTCGCAAGAGATCCACCTGCTTCTGTCTTCTAAGTGCTGGGATTAAAGGCATATGCCATCATACACAACTAGTTGTTTACATTTTCTGTTTTCAGTTCAATCTTAAACATTGAAAGCATATGATAAACAATAGTTTAATGAAATCATACAATTTAGAGCTTACCCCAGTGGTACAATATATAATCTATGATAAAAATTAGAGGCTCAGGAAATGGCTCAGGAAATACTGTGAAGTATTTGCTACATAAGCATGAGGACCCAGGTTTGATTCCAACACCCATGTGAAAGGCAAGCATGGTGATGTGCATCAGTACCCTAGCACTGGGGAGGTGGAGATAGGACTCTCAGGGCTCAGTGGCAAGGCATGTGTCCCATATGCACGAGGCCTTGGATTCAATCTGTAGCACCCAAAACAATTATTGTTTAATGAGACATATTTATACATAAAGGTTATTTGTTTGAAATTAAATCCAGTTGTTTGTCATATATTCTTATTTGCTAAATCTGACAATTCTAGATTAGCAAGAAAGCATAAAATCCAGTGAGATTTTATTAACATTATCACTACTGTTATATATGGGCTTGTGAGGATAGGGCCAGGTCTCATGTGAAACCTGCTATGGATCTCAGAGCAGGGCATTGTAGAAAATAGAAGGGTCATGCAGAAGTCTTTGTAAAACTTTTATTTAGCTTCAAGCATGTGGACAATAGATATAAAAGTACGGAGTATAAGAGCTGGGGGTGTAGCTCAGTGGTGGTGCTTGGCATGTGCAAGGCCCTTGGTTCAATCTCCAGCATCAAAAAAATAAAATGAAATCTCAGTGAGCCAGATCAGAGTACTCACATGAGGTGCTAAAAATGACACATTTTAATTTCCTGTCTATCTATCTATCTATCTATCATCTATCTATCATCGATCTATCTATCTATCTATCTATCTATCTATCTATCTATCTATCTATCATCTCTATATATCTCTATCTATCATCTATCTATCATCTATCATCTATCATCTTCTATCTATATATCATCTATCTGTCTATATTTATTATTTTTATTATATGTGTATAAGTATATTGCACGCATGTGTGTAAGTGCATGTCATGCAATGCCTACAGAGGTCAGAAGAGGGCGTTGCATCCCCTGGAACTGGAATTACCTAAATCGCATAATTTTGATAAACAGCACTTCCACCTGGTTCTCTTGCCATTGTGAAGACAGAAAATATCCAGATACTCCATGCAGAGTTGGCATCAGTTTTATTCATCAAAGCTGCTTGTAAAAAGTGGCAGTGGTAGGCCTGCTAAGAGCTTTCAGTGGATAAAGGCCCCTGTCACCAAGCCTGAGGACCTGAGCTAGATCCCTGGCACCCAGGTGCTAGACGGAGAGAACTGACTCTCCCAAGAACTGACCTCTGCTCATACTCTATGATGTATGCCCTTAAATAAATAAATAATAAATGATAAATAAATGTTTTAAAAAAACCTACAAGTGACAGTGATATAGAGCCCGATGGAAAATATGGATTTTAATCCTTGTTTCCTCTCTCTGTCTCTGTCAGCAAAGTTCAGCTGACAAGTTTATGGTTAGAATGCTGACACAGCTAGCTGGAACCACTGGCCTTGTGGCCTGATGAAACTTCCTCAATTCTGCTCGTCTCAGATGGAGACTTCTGCAAAGATTTTCAGACAGGGTTTTTAAATATTTGTTTTCTTTCTAAAGTTATAATAATTTGCCTAATTTTGAGACTTGACTAATAGTCAATATGTAACCTTCCCTCTCACTGTAACCCATTGCCTAAGGAATAAAATATTCGTGCTGCTTCCCTTTGGGGTCCAGATTTTGAGACTTGAGCCTGCTAGAACAGGCTGCAGCCTAAATAAAAATACCTGCTTCCTGTACACTCTCTGTGTCCAGCCTGATCTTTCCCCCAGCAGCAGAGTTTTAGTTGGGCTTCTAGGGCAAGTCAGCCGAAACGCCTCCTTAGGCCTGAGACATTACTGGGGTTAGTTCAGTTCCTGTTCCCATATTTTCTTCATTGGTTAGAAAAGTTCCCCCAGACTCTTCCCTTTCTCTGTCTCTCTTTCTCTTCTCAGTTTTAAATTGTTTTTAATTATGCGCATGTGTGCATCCATGTGTGGATTTGTGCATGTGAGTGCAGGTGCCCAAAGAAGCCAGAGATTTTTGGATCCCCCTGGAGCTGGAGTTACAAGCAGTTATGAGGCTCCTATAAAAGATGCTGGAAGCCAAACTCAGGTTGTCTATAAGAGCAATATACAGTTTTAACTGTTGAGCCATCTTCCAGACCCATCCTCTCTACATCAACTTTCTAAGTAGTTTCCACAGATCTCTAGCTTCTACTATGCATAAACAAGACATTTCTACTTGTGCTGATAACACTGACTGCTAGGCTTTTTAGTAACATGCTCAGAAACAGTGGACTCTGTTCCTTCAGTGATACAAGCTTCTTCCTCCCTTTATCAATTCCCTGGGGCTTCCTTAATTTCACGTTCTGTACATCTTTAACTTGCATGCATGGCTCCATCTTTTGTTAATGGTGCAGACTGATACGTTTTAATGGGGCTGGATTATCTGAGCAGCACAGGCATTAGTGCTGGCGGAAGAGGAAGTAGTAGAGTTGGATGTGGAGGCAGAGGAGAAAGTAGAGAAGGGGGAGAGGAAGTGGAGGAGGGGGCAGAGGATGGTTGCCTGGCTGTGGCAGTGTGGGAGGAAGTGTAGCTTGGGATTCTGCAGGGGTGACTACGGCACAGACAGGCACATATGTAGCCTTACCATTATTGTGACATGGTTTAGCAGTTCAGACATGAAGAATTTTCTGAGATAGCCTTCAGTGTTTCTTGGAGCTTGCATAATTCATTCTGCAAAATTCCTATTTAAACATTCTTTTTATATATTTTATGTGTATGAGTGTTAGGCATAAATGTATGTGCACCTGTGTCATGCACTGCCTGTGGAGGACAGAAGAGGGTATCAGTTCTCCTGGAACTGGAGTTACAGACAGTTGTTAGCTGCCATGAGGGTGCTGAGATTTGAACCTGGGTCTTCTGCAACAGCAGCCAGTGCTGTTAACTGCTGAGCCATCTTTCTAGCTCCAAAATTCCCATTTTAGAATATGCTGTTCTTGGAAGTAGATTTGGGATGAGAAATGGAAGATGGTACCTTTCAATACTCCTAACTTCTGGTCTACATAGTTTGGCATCAACTGTATACCTACCATATGCTGTGCATTCTTTTCTATTGCATTCTTGATATTGAGACATTTGAAGATCCCAGACGGTCTCAGCAGGTTTCTGCCTTAGAATTTATCTCTTGCTGGGTAGGGGTGTGGAGAGGGAAGTGTATCCCATTCAGACTGTGAGAAGCTTCTTTTAAATATTTTAGCTTTGGATTTTAGCTTTCTTCTTTATTGTTTGAACTTGGGCATGATTGTAGAGTCTGGTAACTAGACAGAGCCTGGGAAGTGGCCTCTTCCACCAAACAATAAAAATAAAATAAAAAATTAAATCCTTGGGGGCGAGACCAGTCTTAATTTTTAGTCTTGATTTTTAGAGCTTCACTGGTGTGTACAGATTAGCTCCCAAGAACAATCTGCACATAGTAGAATTCACTTATGTGAACAGGCCACCATTTGGAGAGGGGAAGAATGAGATCAAAGTATAATACCACATGTGTATGAAAATGCATGATGAAACACATAACTTTGTATACTAACCTAAACAATTGTTTTAAGAAGAGGCCAAGGGGGGCAGAGAGATGTCTCAGCAGTTAAGAGCACTGACTGCTCTTGCAGAGGACCTGGGTTCAGTTCCCAGAACCCACATGGCAGCTAACAGCCATCCTTAACTCCAGTTCCGAGGGATCTGCCCCCTCTTCTGACCTCTGTGGGTATTGCATGACACAGGTGCACTTACATACATGCAGGCAATATGCTCATACACATAAAGTAAAAATAATAAAATATTTTTTAAGAAAGAGACCAAAGTAAGACACCCATTTTAAGGATCTTTCCTTAAAGATTTTAAGGTGGTCTTTCACCTGCAGTTTCCTTTTGGTGACATCCTTAGATACTGTCATGACTGAGAGAATGCAGTGCAGTGGCCTGGAAGGGGCTCTTCCTTGAATCCACATTTCCCACATTCTTCCCATTTTGCCATCCCAGCAAGTGTGGTTGTGGAGGGCTTCCATGGACACCAGAGGCAGAACTCTGCCCTTTGCACTGTTAGAGGACTTGGCCCTGGCAAGCAGAGGACCTTGATCTTCTCATGGTGGGATCCGAGAGAGTGCTGTCTGTAAGGTTACAGGTGCTCTAGCTGCTTCCCTCTCTCCATCCCAGAAATCAGGCCACGTCCCTGCAGCTCTCTCCAGAGTGTTGATAAGTAGCGTATGTCCTGACCTTGCAGCTCTTACAAAGACTTGCGTTCTGTCCCTTGCTGTAAGCCTGCTTCCTTCCTCCCTTATTCAAGGTAGCCTTGAGGTATAGCTAGTCCTTATCAGTGTCTTCCTGGCTTCTAGCAGGTAGTCTAGGTGGTGCTGTAACTGTCCTATAAAGCTCTTCTGAAGGGTTGTTCACCTCAGCTTCCTTTCTGAGAGTATGTATCGCCTTTTATAAGTTCTAACAGCATCCCCCTTGCAGGCATGTGGCAGATCTGGTGGCAGGCTGGGGTGAACTCACTGAATCTACCTACTGCCACTTTTCTAAAGGCTATCAAGTACCAGCCAGTAAACAAGCTGGTCACATGGAGAGAAGATATAGTGTTCACCATTTAATGAGGAGACCATCCTTTTGGTGAATGCTGGGTGTTCCAAACTATTCCTCAAAATCTGTTTTTCCCTTCTTTTCTAGGTGTTTATGGACAGCAGCCTACCAACCAAGTCATCATCCGTGAGCGATATCGGGACAATGATAGTGACCTGGCCCTGGGCATGCTTGCTGGGGCAGCCACAGGCATGGCCCTGGGATCTCTGTTCTGGGTCTTCTAGATCCTTCAAGATCTTCTGTGCATAGCTTCTGTTAGTCCTGTGTGCGATAATTTGATTTGCAGGGCATTTCTGTTTGTTTCATAGTAACCCTAATAATTCTTTTGGTGATAGTGATCTGGCAATTGTGACTAACCCACATGGCACCATAGTAGAAGGCTTGAACTGTGCAGTGATCCAAAACCTGGGTTGTTTCAGGATACTGGTTCACACCAAGTCTTTCTTGGGGAACTCTTGGAATACCTTATTTAAAAATGCCTATTTTGAAAAGCATTTTTTTTTCACAGTTAGATGTAGATGTAATTAAGGGATGTCTTCTTGTTAGACCATTAATAATACTGAGTGATGGAGGAGAAAGTGTGAGTGTGGTGAGAAGAAACGCAACTTCTTTTGATTTAACATCAGATTGTGGAATCTCATGCCAGACTTGGCTGCGTGTTACCCTAGGAGCTTTGGGATGGTGGCTCCTGCAAGTCCATGGTGTGAGAGCCCTGAGACCCATCCTCTGATGGCCCCCAGACCCCCTGCAAGATTAGCTGCTCAGGATGAAGGGAGACACCCTTTCCCTGCTCAGTCTTAGTTATGTGTGTTTGATTTCTGTAGGGATACTTGGAAATTGTCTCAAATTAGGAATGGATTTAAGTCTCAGAATTTGGGGGGTTACCTTTAAAACTTGAAGAATGCAGAACAGTGACAAGTGGGTAGAGGTAGGCTGGCATCTGCTTAGAGATGTATTTTTAATGTTTGCTTTAGGTATATTGATTGCCAGCTAAATCTGTGTATAGCCTATTTTTCTACTTGTTAAGAAAGTATGGTGAGGAGAATGGGGGAGAGCCTTAGAATATTCTGGAATGCAAGCTTCATGAGGACACTTTTCCCTGCCCCTTTGAAGGCCTGACCTATGCAGGAGTAGGGCCCTGTGGCTGGCCATGGTGTGCAAGGATAAATAAGAGCTGGGAGAAATTTGAGTTCTGAGAAATGGGGTTGGATAGTCTCTCAGGGATTTGTTCCAGATCCCTCATGCTGTCTGGGACCCAGCCTTGTTTTCATTCCTAACCCACTCATGATAGAGAAGCTTAAAACATTTCTAGTCCCTAAATGTGTGAAGCTCTGAGAACCCCACAAGCTGCTTTTCTGACAAACACTTGTATTTTCAATATTATGAAACACATTACAAATATTTAAATTTCTGTTCTCTCATGTCTTAAAGCTCCTGAGAAAGTCAGGCTTTCTCTCTGGCATGCTTTAAACAGTGCCCTTTCACAAAGGCAGGACAGCACAGTGGAGGCCCTGTCTTATACTCAGCATAGTCCTGTTTCCCCAGTGTTCCCAGGAAGCGCATGCTCTGTGACTGCCTGGCCGGGCGCATGCGTGCTGCCTCACTGTACTACTCAGCCAGTCTCTAGATGGGTTCAAGACTTAGAACAATGTGCATGTAAGCCAGTTGCCAATTGGACTTGGTGTTTTTCCAGTCACTCCTAGGGGACTTGTTGACACGACACTGCCCATTTTCAGATAAGGCACGCTTCCCTGTCATCCCTGGATATATGGGATGTGTGACAACACAGTGTTGTTTATAGTGTTGCTTTAATAAATGTAACATTGATTTTGCATCCTGTGTCAACAACGGACGTTACTCAGACTGTAATCATTCTTAAAGCTCTGTGCTTTTCTTACAAAGCATTAAAATTAATTTTCAAGGATGCTTTGGCTGTTAATTTTGAACTTGGTTACTGGGTAACTAGAATGTCTAGAACTATGCCCCTGAAGTGGTGTTGAAGCAAAATTGTCTCCCAGTGTCCCATGGCTGTTCCCTGCCTAGCCTGCAACTCCAGTGGGGTGAATTATAATAGGCAGCTATGGTTGAGCCTGGTCATTTCCTGTCACCCGTGATTTAATTCTAGAATGAAATGCATCCTGAGTCTTAAGATGGGTTCGGGTGTTTTGTTTCCTCAGCCCCAAAGCCTGTGGACCAGCCGTCGGTACCTTCAGCCATACCCTTTCACAGTTCATGAGACTTGTGTGTTGGAGGGAAGTGCTTATTCAGGGTTGAGTGAGCATTTAACTTCTGTGGATACTTTTTAATAATGGCTTTGACCTGCAGGAGGTTGGCTGCTGGTTCTGTAGTGGCGGATTTCATTGCTCTTTCAGTTCTTTGGGTTACCTTCAGAACTTTGCTTATGAAAGACAAGAGGGAGACCCATGTTCATGCCTCCGATCATCACTTGTCAAGAAGGTCAAACTGCATATTTTTGGCCATCTCTGCCTCCAAAGTAAACTTCTGGACAGTAAGATGATCCTAGAGTTAAGACAGAAAGATTCAACTTATTTTCTGTATCATTTGTTGATCCTGTGTAATCTTTTGTACTGTTACTTCTAGTTTATATGGACAGAAGGCACAGAATGCAGCTTTGTTTTTCTCCCAGAGTCAATCTTCTTCGTGATTGCTTCCATGGTTTTGTTATTCCATTGTGTCAACAGAGCCTATTTTTTCCCATGTGTGTGCAATTGGTATGTTTATGTGAAAAATGTTAAAATATTAAAATGATCATTAACCTTAAAGTATGTTTCATTGTGACTTCTTGTGGTTTGAATGAGAAATACCCTCCATATGCTTAAATATTTGGATACTTAGTCCCCAGTTGGTGGTGCTGTTGGGGAGGCCATGGGCTCTCTAGGAGGCACAGCCTTGCTGGAGGAAGTGTGGTCTTTGAGAGTCATAGCCTCGCCCTACTTCCAGTTCACTTTTTGTTTCATGTTTGTGATTCAAGATGTAAGCTCTCTGTTTCCTGCTCCTGTGACCAGGCCTGCCACTTGCTGCCATGCCTTGCTGACATGATGGACTCTTCCTCCGTAAGTTGTCTTGGTCATGGTGTTTTATCACAGCAACAGAAAAGTAACTAATATACTTCGGTTGTCTTTTTAAAATTATTTTGAGGTTGTTGGTGAGATAGTAAGGTGTCTGCCACACAAGCACGAGGATCTGAGTTCAGATCCCCAGCACCCATATAAAATCAGGTCATGGTTGCATACGTCTGTAATCATAGCACTGAAGGCTTGGAGACAGGAGGATCCCCAGAGTTTGCTCACCTGGTCCACCAGTCTAACCAATCAGTGATCCCTGGATTCAGTGAGAGACTCTATCTTAAAAGATAAGGTAAAGAGTGATAGAGGATGTCAACCACTGGTCTTCACACACAAATATGTACACACATACATGTGCATATACACATACACTACACACATGCACGTATGCACACATGCACACAAATTACCTTGAGCTGAGCATGGTAGTTTATACCTGTAATCTCAGTATTAATTGGAAGCAGAAAGATCATTTGAAGCCAATTTGGGACTACATAGGGAAAACATTGTTTTTATAGAAACATGTCAGCTTTTTCTGTTGTCATCAGTGATAAAAATGCCATGTGAGGACCATAACCAGCTGAAGCTGCCTGTCCTGCAGTCAGAGGTACCAAAGGACAGCACAAGCCAGTTGCTGGACAGTTCAGAACATACACTCCAGGCCTCTAGCAACTTTTCCTGCCTGCTGTAGCACATACCTTGTTATACTTCAGCCTCAGGACCCCAAAGAGACCAGCGACTGCCTGACACTTCCAAAGCTGCAAAAGCAAGGTTTATTGAACAAAAGTACAAACCGCAGTAGGCACCTTAACACAGAGACCGGCGCCCCAGCTCTATGAGAAGGCCCAGTCCATCGTTTGGGCTGGCCTTTTACAGGGGGTCCACCGCAGCCTTAACTCATGGTGGAGTGAATGTACGGGGCCGTAGGTGATTGGTTGTTTGTTTGTCAGGCTATTTTGACCATTTGTGGTTGGGAGGCAGTTTTGACCTTTTGTGGCAGTTGGTCTCTGGGTATTCCGGGAACTACTCGCTCTTACTGGAAAGATTCAACTGGGGTGTTTAATAAAATGGAGGTTGGTTTTAAAATGGAGTTGCCACAGCTCTTCAGCCTCAGGCAGAGCCTCCTTTGCAGCAGCCACTCCCTGACCTCTCCCGAGAGACCCCCTTCTCAGAGCCCATCCTTCCCCTGCAGGCAAATCTCTCAAGAAAGGGGGAATGGTTCCCTTCCCGCAGCCCTTCATCTGTCCTCTTGCAGGGCAGGTATTCTGGTTAAATATGAGGATATGGGGTATCTCAGCAAGGGCCTGAGGATGCCTGTGTGTGTTCAAATAAGGAGATGGGGGAAAAATGCCACTCATTTGGGACCCTGGATGTTAGGATATACTGTCACTTCAGAGGAAGTAACTCACTATTTTTAAAATAAGATTTATTTTTATAATTTCTTTTTGCTTTTTCTTTTTTTTGTCTTTTTGAGACAGGGTCTCCCTGTAGCCTCAGCTGACCCTGGAACTCTCTGTGTAGACCAGGCTGGCCTTGAACGCACAAAGATCCTTCTGCCTTTGCCTCCCAAGTGGGATTAAAGGCATGTGCCACCATGCCCAGCTATATTTGGTTTTTTGAGACAGGGTCTCCCTGTAGCTCCATCTGGCCTGGAACTCACTCTCTAGAGCAGGCTGGTCTCAATATCACGGAGATCCACTTGTCTGCTTCCCAAGTGCTAGGATGAAAGGAGTGCGTCACCACACCCAGCTTTATTATTTTAATTATGTGTACTTGTGGGTCTGTATCTGACTATGTGGGTGTGAATGCAGGTGCCCATAGAGGCCAGAGGCATTGGATCCCCTGGAGCTGCAGTTAGATGCAGTTGTGAACCATCCATTGTGGGTATTGGGAACTTAACTCTGCAAGAACAGTATGTGCTGTTAACTAGTGAGCCATCTCTCAAGTCCTTAACTCACTAAGTCTATCAGTAGCTATAAGGGAAGTTTTGCTGAGGTTTCAGTTGCTGATGCTGAGGCTCAGAAGACAAATACTCACTAAGGAATTTGAAGTTAGTGATTACAGTTTGCATCTGCATTGATGTTGCACCACATTCTTTTATCCTATGTTCAATGTGTGAATGTATGATTTGTGTAAGAACACCTGGGTGGTCTGTACAGTCACACTTTTACAGTGTCTGGCAGGAAACCTTTTTTTGAACAAATCAATTGGCAGAGTGTTCCCAATAGCTTCTCCAATATCTCTGGGTACATGACTGACCGTTCTGTATAGTCCAGAGAATCTAGGGTAGCCATACTTTTGGTTTTGAATGAGTGAGTCTATTAAGTATATAGCAAGCCAATGTGAAAAAAAGCAAGAGATAAATAGATTCTAGATAGCAAAATATCATCAAATCAGTTACTCAAAACTTTCAGAAAAGGGATGGAGATGGCTCAGCACTTAAGAGCACTGACTGCTCTTGCAGAGGACCCAGGTTCGATTCCTAGTACCCACATGGAGACTATGAACCGTCCTTAACTCCAGTTCTAGGGGAATCTTAAGCCCTCTTCTGATCTCCATGGCATTGCACGACACGGGTGCACTCACATATATGCAGGCAATACACTTGTACACATAAAATAAAAATAATAAAACATTAAAAAAAACTTTCAGAAAAAAACTGAGGGGTGCTGGAGAGATGGCTCAGAGGTTAAGAGCACTTGTTGCTCTTCCAGAGGACCCAGATTCAGTTTCCAGTACCCATATAGTGGCTCACAACAGGCTATAAGTCTAATCTCGGGAGATTTGATGCCTGAGTACACCCATGGTGCATATACATACACGGAGGCAAAATACTCATGCACATAAAAAAATGTAATATAAATCTAAAAAAATTAACTGACTGAGGAAGCCTCCTTGAGACAGCCGTTTGGAATTCCCAGAGTCTTGGGCAGAGCAGAATCCTTGGTGATGCTTCCAAGTGAAAGAAAAAATCATAGCAGAAAGATAATACCATCAAATCGGGGACTTAGAAACTTCCAGCAGAAACTGGCTGAGGAAGCCCCATTAACACAGACAGCTGGAGTTCCCATCGAGAATCCAAGACAGAGCAGTGTCCCCTCAGGTGAGGCTTCCAGGGAATAGAACAAACAGCGACAGATAGAAGTGACATCATCAAATTCGTTGCTCACAACATCGAGCAGAAACTGATGGAAAATTGAACTGAGGCAGTCAGCTGAGTCTCTATTGAGCTGTCTCTCCATGGAAGAGTTCCTCATGGCCAAACTTGTAGCTTCTCTTTCCCACTGTAGGCACTTTTATAACTCCATAAACAATAACCTCTGTTGGGAACAGGTTATCTTCCAGCTATTCTCAAGGGCACAATGTTTCTACTCTTGGGCAGTTTTGTCCTCTCTGACATAGGTTTAAGGAAGCAGCTCATCTCCAGATAAAGGGGCCTTGGGAGACAGTTTGAAACAAACATGTTCACCCCCCCATGTATGATGTGTTCATGTGTGTGCCATGTGCACATGCATGTGGAAGCCAGAAGTTGAAGTTGAATGTCTTCCTCAGTGTCTCTCCACCTTAATTTTTGAGGCAGGATCTCCCTGAACCTTGCTTACCAATTGGCTTAGTCTGCCTGGCCAATGACCCTCCAAGGATCTGTCTGTTTCCACCTTCCCAGCCTTTTGATTATAGGTGCACACTGCTGTGCCCTGTTTTTACATGAAAAACACCCTGAATCATAATCAGCAGCATGTGAGATGAAGAGGAAAGCTGCCCAGGGGAAACAGGTCATTCAGAAAGTAGAGTAAATTTTAAATGCTTAAAAATGCTTAAATGCTTAAAAAAGCAAAAGCAAGGGGCTGAGGAGATGGCTCTGTTGGAAAAGTGCTTTCCATGCAAGAATGAAGACCTAAATCTAATCCCCGCTCCCCACAAAGAAAAGCTGGATGTGGTGGCATGTGCAACCCCTGAGGGTTGCCTAATTGGTGAGCTCTAGGCCAATGAGAGACTCTTGCTCAAAAGAGATGGACAGTGTTCCTGAGAACAACACTGGGGGTTTTCTTGACCTCACCTCTATACTCACAGGACACACATACACCACACACACACACACACACACACACATTTTTTTTTTTTTAGTGATCTTAACTGTCCTCAACTCTCCATGGAGGTCAGGTTTGTATTAATTAACCTTCATTCTGACACTTTGCTGATCATAAAGCTACTGGCACAAATGATGTGTAAATTGCTGGCTCACATGCCAGGAAAATCACTTAGTCACACGTTTTTACTATTGAACCAATTCTTTATTTACCACGTACTTTAGATCTAGAGAACACGTTCACACTTTCCAGCCTGGAAGTCATTGGTTTGTTCTCTGATACATTAGCTTTATCATTCAACTGAATATTTACCTGAGCTTGACTTGGCTATTGTATAGTATTGTTCCCTTCCTTCTCTCTGTTAGAGGACCTGTGAGTAACAGCATTGTCTCACCTATGGAAGGAACACACGTCTCAGCTCCACTGAATATATGTAGTGTGCTTTGGTCCAGGACACACGGGGGAGAGTGTGCCATGTTGAGGTGGGTGTTCAGGGGGTAATAGGGGTTCTGTAGCTTTCTTTTCTTTGCCCCACTGTGAGAGCTAGCCCTTGTCCATGGCCCAAATGACATACTTGCTGTCCTCCTTATGCACCCTTATCACAGGAAC